TTCACGCTCTTCACAACACTGACCTTTATTAATCAGAATTCATTGATCAAAGAAACATAGATTCCCCCTTTTCAAATGCATTACAAATTTTTAATGTATTTCCTAAGTAAATCATCACAAGGGAACTACCAGTCAAATCATGTTGAACAAACTCGATGCAGTCAAATGCACCTTTTTTTGTGAGCAGTAATTGCACCTTCGGAAATGATGGAAAATGGACTCCAATTTTTAACACCCAAACTTGGTTAGACCGTTTGTCTTCCAAGTCTCATAACTTAATGTTATTGGTCTTTTAGCTATCCTAAAAACTTGGGTCAAGATCTCTGCGAACCTAAATGTTTGACTGACTACACTCAGCTCGCTAGCTTGACTTGGAACTTGGAAGTCATTACCCTTCTTGGTCTCCACATTGTAGACAATCAGAAGAAAAGCAGATTCCAAGCAAATTAATACTGCTTTCTACAGGATATAGATTATTCCATGGCACTGCAATTAACTATCAAAAATCAGAGGAATAATTTAAATTAGCCTTGCGGAAGAACACGGGAATCAGCTTGAATTTAAATGCTGGAAAGTGGTGTTATGTTAGGAGAGGGGCAGAGGATAATGTCCAATGAAGGAAGAGTGACTGTGGGTTATGTTTGATATATAGATAGGTCTGTGTATCAGTGTAGACAAAAAGCTCTTTCTAGGAAAAAGATCTACTCTAGAAACAGAAAAGAACATAGAATCTGCTCAAGTGGAAAGTATCTAGAACAACTTCCATATTAAAGCCAGATACAAACTACCCAACGGAACCTCAAAAGTAGCATAAAGAGCACCAAGAATATCAAATAGTGGGGGGGGGGGGGGGGGGGGAGGAACAAGAACACTGACCTTGAACACGTGATGAGCCACAATCCGACTCTGACATTTTAAATTCATCTCTCACTTTTTGTAGCTCCAGTTTCATTTTTTCCTCGGATGACATGTTATCTGGGTGGAAATACTGTTCAAAATTGTGCATAAGTTATTACATTCACTTAAATGAATGACAGCCACATGGACAATAGAAATCAGATAACTGATGCTACTTGCTAAGCTAAACGAAGTAATGAACAGAAAGAACAATAAGAGAGTACAAAATCATGGATGAGCTCTGCAAAATTATGGCTGCAAATCAAGACAACCATCAACCATGCCTCCCCTTTTCTTTTATGTTTTTTTTTTCTTGTTTTGCTTAATTAAACAAAAACTGGACAAATAGATCAAATTGATATGCAATATGACAAAGAGCAATTTAGTCTGACCAAATATACATCTTAATCTTTTTTATAGATAATTTGGATAACCAAAATAAATAAAAACCTATGTTTGTTCTTTATACTGTTGTGATTATGCATGATTCTTTAAGCCGAGGGTGTATTGGAAACAGCCTCTCTACCTTCACAAGGTAGGGGTAAGACTGCGTACCTTCTATCCTCCCCATACCCCACTTATGGGATTACACTGTTGTTGTCGTTGTTGTTGTTGGACAATGAAAAAAAAGACCTTTTTTCTTCTTAACTCTAAAGTTAAGTATACAGCAACAACAACAATAACAACAAACCCAGTGTAATCCCACAAGTGGGGTCTGGGGAGGGTAGTATGTACGCAGATCTTACCCCTACCTTCAAGAAGAGAGGTTGTTTCTGAAAAACCCTCGTCTTAAGAAAGATAAAAGGAAGGGCAGCAGTAATCACACCAATTCTAAAACCGAAGAAAAAATACAAGGATACAAAACTAAAACGGAGTATTGTAATCAGAAGGCCAAAATGGAAGCAACGACAAGTAATCACATAAATCAAGAAATACGAAAATACATAACTAACGCTAACTCATTTACTAAAGCTACTGTTACAAAACCTTAGAATTCACCCTACCTGTCAATGAAAAAATGGGATTTGAGAGGAGCTGAAAGCCACTTGACTCTAAGGAGAGGACCACCAGCTAGCGGATCAGAAAGATTTGTATGGAATGTCCTACTCCTGCCTGAGCTTGACAAGGACAACACTAGGCAACATATTCTAACCCTTTACCTTTATTCTCAACCTCCACACCTTCCTATGGAGGTTATGAACAATGAAAATGAACTACATATGGTGGAAACCCATGTGAATCATCACTACGATATTTGATTCATACAGTCCGCACGCTGGTTCATACAATCGCCGCCCGCTCTTGTATTTGTAATAACTTGTCTTGAATAAAATTAAATTTTGATGGAAAAGAACCATAACTATGCAACCCTATTCTTAATAGATTGACCCCAAAATAGCATATCCAAATTATAAGAAAGCCACCTCAAGATATTATTTTTTATACAAATGGTAAAGCAAAAATGAAACTCGCATAATTGCCTTAACCTTTTGCTCTAATGCAGGATTATGTATAACATCTTAATTGTTAAAATTAACAAAAATCAGCAAAAAGTATCATGGTTAGTGTTAAGGTCTGGTTTAATCTCTCGTGTCTCAAATGTTGCTTTTAGATTTTAAAGCCAAATGCATCCACTCCTAGATTTTCTACTAAAGAAAGAAAAGACTGCTTGCTGCTCAGATCATCACTGAAGGCAAAATACCATTCAGATCCCTGAAATGAATGCTTCATAGGTGACTCACATTCAAAAAAACCAAATACTTAAAAACTATTGAGTGCAGATTGGACATCAAAAAGGTTTATCATGAGTAATCAAATTAGAAATAGCAGAATCATTGACAGAAAGATAATTGAGAACAAAATACTTATTACCTTTTCAACCAATTCTTCTTTTGGTGGATGCAACATAAAGCTTGGGGTACCACCCAGCTGCCCCAAGACATCAAGTCTCTGAACTGTAAAAAGTAATTGTAATCAATGTATCATAAATGTGTTCGCACCATCTCCTCGAAAAATACAAGCATTGCTGCTCACAAGGAAGGAAGCGCCAGACCTAAATCTAGTTGTAGCTTATATTAAAGAAAACAAGAAGTGATATTAGCCGTCGATGCACACTGCATTGACTAATGAATAAGAAATCCAAGCGCATTACTAGCAAAGTGGCCTATTGCACACTAATTGAACACAATAAGATTGCAAACATAGAAACAAGCCTTTGACATCATTGTGAAGGCTTTGCACATTTTCCACAATATATACATTTTATGAGTATAGAACTCTTCTATAAATGGTAATTGCAAGAGCAGCTCTTATGGAACTGGGTTCCTATAGAAGATTCATGGGGAAAATATATATTCATAAGAGATGAATCAGACCAATGACTCAATCATTAGCCACTTTGTATGACCTCAATTAATTCCAACTACTTTATATTACCACAAAAGCAACACTTACATCTCTTTTTACATATATATAATGGAGGTCGTCCAGCGAGCTTTTGCGCACCTCAATTATTCTTTCCTGATACCTGCTAACTCCTAACAAGTAACTCAACCACCAATTCTTAGGCATATGGGAAGAAATCACCTAGCAATTGTTTGCTTCGGCTAGGATTTGAACTTTGATCCCCCATGATTTTCATCCCAATTGAACGCTAGACCACACCCTTAGGTGCAGCTACACTTACATTTCTTTCAGCAATAATAAATCAAAACTTAACCTCCCAACAACAATTAATCGTAGTTCTCAATTCCTTTCCATATATAAAAAATTGTTTCTGCTTATACATATATGTCCCATGTATTTTCTACCTCACACCTTTATTCACTAAAGCATGAGCTTTATGCTTAACAGTTCTGGTAGCAATAGGTGCTTCTCACTGCTTTTAGCATTTGATCACACTTGCATATATAAAATATAACTAAACAAGTCACAGCATCACATTTATTATACACAAGTTATCCAAATAAACATATACATAAGCGAACACCAATATTGCACCCAAATATGATGAGGTAAAAAAAAAGGCAAACTCACTCATTGTCCTATTAGCCTTCTCCTCATTGTGAGTCCTCAACGTAACAAGAGACTCTTTCAATTCCCTAAACCCGACGCCAGCCATCCTCGACTCGCTCTCTTTCTCCTCAGTCTCCCTTAGCTTCGCCAATCTATCGTTCAACTCTTTCAACGAAAACCAACCCTTCTCACCCTCCTTCTTTTTCGCGGGCCTCAACATTTTCAACTTCTCACCTAATTCACCATGACTGTACATCCTAACAAACTCAGCCCTCGTCCCTTCCTTATGACCACCCTCTTTATCCCTCATCATTTCCTTACCAAAAATCGACACAGGCAAATTCTCACTCCCACCAATCACTTTATCCATATTGGGTCTCAACTTAAAACTATCCTTATATCGCGAGAGCGATAACGAGTCAAACAACTTCCCTCTATTCTCATTATTCTGGTTGTAGTTGTTATTGTTGTTGAAGTTACGGAGGTTAGTGCGAATGGCGCTGAGGTCAAACTTTCCGGTGGGGCCCGGTCTAGGGGCATTATTGACATTTCTTTTGTAGATTTCTTGAAATGACGGCGGTGGAGGAATAGAATCAGTACGGCGGCGGAATTCAGCGAGGTTTTTTCTAATTTCTTCTAATGATGGGGTTTTAGAAGAAGGATTTTGGTTTCTGGGATTATTGGGGATAGAGGAAAAAGAGAAGGGTTTAGGTGTGGGGGGTTCTGAGGTAGGGGGTAGGGTATTATTAGGGATTTGGGGGTGATCGGAATTTGAATTCGAAGAGAAGAAATGGGGGAAAATGGGGTTGGGTTCAGGGAAAGGTTTGAGTTTTGGCCGGAGTTGGAGAAGCTTTGTTGTAGCTGCCATTGTTGAGTGTTGAGGTTTAGGGGTTTTAGGTTTTGTTTTGTTTTTGAGTCACTGTTTAGTGAAAATGGAAGGTAAATATTTATCGTTTTTCATTGAATACGAATAAAAACTACAATTTAAATTACTGTTATGCCCTTAAAGTTTGTCATACAGTTTGGCATAATGATGTCTAAATTTGACAATTCGTACAGCTTTATCTTTGTTGGTGGAATTAAAGGGAAAACAAACAAAGCAAACTGAAGAACCAGAGCTTCTTTCTGGGCTAATTTTCCCAACAGTTCCCCAGAGATTTCTTTGAGGTTCGTCAATTCTCTCTATTTATTTTTCATTCCATTTTATTTTCGTTGAATAAAGTTTTTTCTTTCTCGTTTGTTAGTTGTTACATGAGCTTGTGATATAGCTACACTTAATTTAGGACTGGTTAATGCAAAGAACTGAAAATCAGAAAACCAAGGTCCACTATGAAATATACATATTGGTTAGGAGGGATGTTTTAACTGTGGAGAATTAGAAATAGCTGACTAAGATGATATCTAAGGGTTGTGAACTACCGAAATTATGGAAAATAGAAATTTGGAAGGTCCACTATGCATACATACTATATTTTGACACCCCTTAGTAAAATTTCTGGATTCGCCACGGGTGGTGACGAATAGGAAAAACGAACTCCGAAAGCAGGAGAAGAAACATTTCACAAGATGGATAATTGGTTGGAACCCAAGGCTTTGTTTCAGTGGTAATGATGCAATGTAGGATTTGTGAGTAGGGTGCATTTTTACGAGCTTGAACCCTACTGTTGACTGAAGTCTGGTTTTTTAGTGGGAACAGGGTAGAACCCTTGGGGCATACACTTTGAGTTTCGAACCTGTGGGTCTACTCGGGTTGGGTCCGCTTACTCTTTCTCCATTATTCGTAAATAAGACGGATAATTGGGTGAAAAACATAGGTTAGCATGTGGGGGGTTTGCAGAAGCTGAATGATTTAACTATAGGCTTGAGCAATGACTGTGGTACCATGTTAGATTTTGCCGATAGAGGCAAACTGTTATTTGGTTTGTACTATATCAGGAATTGAAGGGAAGCATCCATTTGATATGATGCATCTTCTCAAGCACCATCTATATGTTGATTATGCTCCATTTGACCATATCTGATTCCTCATTTCCTCTAAATGTAAAGCAACGCCAAAGAGGAAATCTTAATTTGAGGCATATAAATGTGTTAAAAGCCTAGAAGATCTACCTCTGTTGTGATCTGGATTATACGATGCTACAATCCTACCTTCCAAATGGATCCATATGTCAATTTAAAATATAAAATTCGCAGCACTAGAGTAGGGTCATACATGATTCTTGTAAGAAAGCTGCATCGCGCCAATGCTACTAGCTTTTTTTTTTTTTTTTTTTTGCCAATCTATGAGTTTTCTTCTTTCTGATGTTTTAATCGAACTTGTAGCTTGTAGCTAAAAAATCTGTCATATTTCACTTCTTAATCATAAGTACCATAAGCCTTACATGCATTAAAAACATGGTGTCTGGACCTTCAATTACTAGTATTAGTGACAACAGTTAAGCGGGCAGAGAGGATACCTGGTTGAATAATCAAGAATGTGGCACTATAAGTAATTGGGAATTTAATTAATATCCTCGTTATCTTTGTTAAAATTCATAACCCACCATTAGTATACCCTCGTTATTTATGAAATGAATTGATAAATCCCAAAAAGAAGGAAGTTTGTTTTCTTTCATATTAGCTCCTTCTATTGCCTATAATTTAATATTAAAAGGGCATAGCACTCAAGAGGTACTGGGAGAATGTTAGAACACTTGGCTAATTTGAGTTTTAGTATCCTATTTTTTAACTCTCCTAAGTGCTTCATTTTATACTTGTTTTCTTGCAGGGAGTTCAACTTCCTTGAACTCTATAGGCTGCTGATTACTTTTCCCATGTCCAGCCGAATGGTGCTTCGCTGCACCAACTCATTTGCATTATCTCAACCTAAATTTAATGGGTGTTTCTTTCCATTGATATACCACATAAATGTGTCAGCCTTGACGAGGCATGTGCCTGCAACTGCTCTCTCCTTTTGTCAGCTTCAGGCATCAAACCTTCATGATAGTCCAGTTACTGTTGCAAGTGATGTTAGATATGGTGGTAAACAAATTATAAGTGTCGATTCGCCACTTTATGACTACATATTGTCAAACATTAGAGAACCAAAGGTGAATGCTCTGGTTGCAAACCCATTTTAATTTGAGAAGAGAAGCAAACATTGGGAAAGGAAAGATAAAAAGAAAGAAAAGAAGGAGGTACTCTATCTGGACTTCATTTCCTTATCTTTTTTTTTTTTTTTGGTTGCATTCAGATTTTGCATGAACTTAGGGAGGAGACAGCAACAATGCGAGGCAGTCAGATGCAGGTAATTCGTCAGCCTAGGCTTTGCTATCTGTTGTTTCCTTTACCTCCTAAGTAAGTTACACATTACCGCTGTTCCGCTGTGCATAGTTTTGAAACATGCACGTGATACCTTTATAATCTAAGACTTTAGTAACCTGTTAAGTTTCTGTATGTAAATATCGAGAGTCTCTTCATTCATCAAAAAACTAAGGTTCTTTTCCAAAAAGGTTTATTTATGGATGTTATTATGACCCTTGGTCCTCAGAAAGTTATTGGATGTGTGGCTCCAAGTCACACACAACAACTACTGACTGAGTCTGACTTGAAAAAAAGATCTCAGTGCTTGTATACTAAGTTTATTCTTTGAAATTCACTCGAATAAATATATGAAAACTGACTCTTTATGTTTAATTGAAGAAAATTTGTAATTTTAAATGAAACACAATCTGAGTCACTCATCTTATGATGGAGTGGACGAGATGCGGTTGTTGGGAATCTTTTGTGAAAGAACATGTTGTGAATAAACTTTTTTAGCATGTACTTTGATAGTAATGGGTGGGGGTGGGGAGGAAACTTCTTCCTCTTTCAACTGAGAGTCTTGAAAGTTTACTTTCTCCTATTTTATGCTAGTAATTTGAGACCTTGAGGGGATAAACCTTCTCCCTCTGCAAAAATCTCTGAAGGTCAACTGGAACTTAAATTTCCCTCTTTTTTATTGTTTTAGAACTTTGCTTTACAAGATAGGACTGTGATTAGTGATGATGATTTTTCTCGTGACGAAATTGACAAAATGATTTATTTGGACTTCAATGTTGGCTGACTGTTGTTCTTAGTAATAGGTGTCACCGGATCAAGCACAACTACTTGCTATGCTCGTCCAGATTCTTGGGGCAAAAAGGTGCATTGAAGTGGGCACGTATACTGTATGTATATGAACCCATCCTCTTGGTTTATACATTTGTCTTATGCTCTTCTTACCTCATATACGTTCTCTTTGTTGAATATATGGTGCACTGCTGACAATTTATGCTGCAAAACCTACTCAAGTAGCAAGTTTAAAATGCCAAAAGCTGGAAAACTGAGATTGAAACCAGGAATTTGTTGAAGACAGTTAATTGAATAGATTGGATTTGGAATTTGAGTGTGGGACTGGCTGTGTTTGAGTATGTACACCTTCTCCTGTCGTACTTACTACTTAGTATGGGACAAGATTGAAGTTTTCACCTCTCTTATCCAACCTCTGTTATCCTTCATGGATGTTTATGGTGCCAAAAGTAACAAAAAGAGTTTAAAGATAAAGAGGAGAGGGAGGGAACTTGATCTTCTCTTATATCTTCTTTGTATAGTTCCAATTTTATTACGTGAAGGGAAAAATATTTCCTTGTATTCATCATAAGACTATTCGTATTGAAGAGTATAGGCATAGGGTGGCCCTTATAGAGGTGAAGGGCCTAAAGAAAAGCTGGCCTGAAAATATTCGTAAAAGAGAATGTAACAGCATATTGGTTGCTGGGTAGGTATTATGTTATGGAAGAAATGGAGTAGAGAGGAGGGATGGTGGGAGAGGCTCACGGTTGTAGAAGAGAAGGCATGAGTAGGAGGGTCTCATGATATTTATCTGCTTTCTCTGTTAGTAAATTGACTGCTGTTGTTTTCCTCTGCTATCGGCTGTACTATCGATCATTAATATGAGTTGATCTTGTCACAGGGGTATTCATCCTTGGCTGTTGCTTTGGTCCTTCCAGAAGAAGGTCATTTAGTTGCTTGTGAAAGAGATGGGAAATCAATTGAAGTTGCTAAAAGATATTATGACCAAGCTGGCGTCTCACATAAGGTGATTGTAGTGTCTCCTTTTTGATTCATAAGATGTATCTACTATAGATGAAGTAGTCGTCGACCTTGTGATTATCCATCAATCAAGCAGTCAACCATGCCTCAATTCCAAATTTGGGGTTTGTTATATGAATTCTCTACAATTTCAGTGTTGAGGCGTGTCCTAATAATGGTTAAAAAGAATTCTTCCAAGGGAAATCAGGGGCTCTTTAAAACTAGAGATTATTTATATCTCACACTTATCCTACGTGGACCTGATTTAAGAGTAACATCAACCAACCCTTAGTTCAACTAGTTGATATCACGTCAATGGATCCTTCGTTCACATTCTGTCATGCTCCTAGGTAAGTCCCATTGATCGATAGAAATTCAAAGTTTTCTAGACAACTTTTTCCATGTGATTTTAGATCTATGGGTTTCATTTAGCACCTCCAATCACCATGTTGTTGCATCACTGGGCCGGTGTTTTTGGAAGTCTACTTAAGACATGATTAAATGATCTCAGGTTCAGGCATCATTCCCTCAATTTATTTTTCTATATATGCTCCTATTACCCTTTGTATGATGTAATTATATCTTATCTTATCCAATCTTGTATGTCCACACATATCTTCATTTTCACAATACGTATCTTGTGGATATGATGGGCCATAGAGGCCTCAAATTTGCTCCCGCATAACATGCTAGTCACGATACTATAGCACTCCTGTAGTATCTTTCAACCATCCTTTTTTATCCTCTGTTATATTGTCATCTCGCATACCATTCTCTTGGAAGATTGATGCATCTACGCACTAAAATCCCGTTCAGTCTCACTTTCACCCTTTGTTCTCTTTATGGAAGCTAAACGTGCATATGTCTTGTCTTAATTCTGTATATGCTAGAATTCTTGCACTTTAGTGTATTTTAAACCCATTAGGTTCTTTCTTTATGGCAGCCTAACATTAATTACTGGAATGTGAACTGTATTTCTCATTTTGTTACGACTTATCATTATTCATGCTTGTTTATGGTTGAAGCATGGCAAATATGTCTAACATGTCTTGATATCCATATCACTGACGGTTTAACTCTGTTATTAGGTGGACGTGAGACATGGTCTGGCAGCAGATACTTTGAAGTCTTTAATTCAAAATGGTGAAAGTTGCAGGTACATATTGGCTTAGGGCCAATTCTTGTTTGGTTGTCGACTTTGAGTTTTTTCTGATAAATATATAAGTAGATCCGCTATTGACTCCATATATGAGTGACAAATCTTATAAAACTTATTTTCCTTTTCTAAGGTTGGTTTTAGCTATTCTTAGCGCCGTTACGAGGTATAGAAGATGTGATTTTGAGACGGATACCTAGTTTTGGAAAAGCTGCTGTCTTATGGTTGGATCAACATACTTTCTAATCTACAATGTGGCAATACTTCTACATTGTGAACCCTTTTTTTTAGTTAAGTTACTTTTTTCCTATAAACCTTATCAGACAAATTTTCTTCACTGCGTATAAACTTGCACTAGTTCAAACCTCTTATCAGCCATTTACCTTTTAAAAGAACTGAACTGTTAACGAGACTGAGTAGATGGATTGAAGAAACGATAGTAGCTATCGGTTTTATCTGTCAGTTACAAATTCAGATGTCTCAACTATTTATATTTAGAGGAAACCATTTGACCTTCAGTGATATCAACAAAAAGAGCAAAGTGATTCACTATATAACTCCAATTCTATGCAGATATGATTTTGCTTTTGTTGATGCAGAAAAGAGAATGTATCAAGAGTACTTTGAGTTGCTGCTACAACTGGTGAGCAGTTACATGATCTCAAACCATCTTCATTCAAATCTAAAGTTGCTGCATAGTTTAGTATGGCTGGCAATTTGAAATTGCAAATTCTGTCCCCTTCCACAGGTGAGAGTTGGGGGTCTTATTGTAGTGGATAATGTCCTATGGCATGGAAGAGTTGCCGATCCACTGGTAAGAACATTTTTCATTTTTCACATGTTTCCCGATTCCAAAAAATTATTCAGCTCTAACCTTTCTAATGTTAGGTAAATGATTCCAAGACTCTTAGCATCAGAAATTTTAATCAAAACTTGATGGAGGATAAACGCGTCGACATCAGTATGGTAAGCACAAGATCTTCTTGTTCCTTTCTTCTTTTGGGGTTTTTTTTTTCCTATTTGGATTTTCTTAGACCAAGAAATATGAAATACCGGATGAAGTTCTGATATAATTTCTTTGGCCTTGCTAAGGTGCCTATTGGTGATGGTATGACGATCTGCCGTAAAAGATAAATCCTAATACAAAGAGGTTGGATGTTGAACTGCTCCATACAGCCATTTCATGGTTGTTTGTATATTCTTTGGGGAAGCTCCACAAGCGGAGTCTTGGAGCAATGGTAAAGTTGTATCCGTGTGACTTATAGGCCTTAGTTTCGAGCCATCGAACCAGCCACTAATGTTTGCATTAGGGTAGGTTGTCTATGTGTGGCCCTTTCCCGGATCATGCGTGAACGCGGAATGCCTCGTGCACCAGGCTGCCCTTGGAGTAAGCTTCCGGTGTGTTAAAAAAAATTTGTTTCACTTTTTCATTTGTAAAGAAAGAAGCTTACTTCTCACTTGGTGTTTGTGTATTCTCTGATCTTTTTCCTTCATGCTGTGTGTGTTTAAGATCCGGAAGTAAAATGGACTAGATGACAACTAATAGAGCAAGATTTAGATTCTTTTTTCTCATACACCATAAACCTTAACAGATTGACTCTTTGGTCCCAAGGCTTTTGGCAGAGGCAGATCTAGAATTTGAAATTTATGGGTTTTTATCGCAATTTCAAGTTAATATACCATAATAATTGAGTTTACGATATTTAATGATTAAAGGTACTGCATTCCCGTGACCTATATGATGTACTCTAAATCTGCTTTTGGTTGAGTGATAAGGACACATCACATGATGTATGAATTACATGCACTTAATAAGGGGTGATTTTTAAAAATAGCCAGATTTACAATGGTCGTTCAAAAATAGCCCAAATTCAAAAGTAATCGAAATTTAGCCACTTTTTATGTAAAGATAAATATGAGCGAAAACACTGTTGAAAACCCGAAAAATACTCCAGTATATTATGCTGGAGTTCCAACATAAGTATACTTGAACTCCAGCATATTATACTAGAGTTCCAGGATTGTATGCTGGAACTCCAGCATAATATGATGGAGTTCCAGCATAAATACACTAGAACTCCAGCATAATATACTGGAGTTCCAGCAAGTATAATGGTCCAGTATAATATACCGGAGTTTGGAGCACCAGTGCTCCAGTCTCCAGTATATTATACTGGAGCCAGCAAAGTATACCGGTTCAGCATAATATGCTGGAGTTCATACACAAGTGCACCGAACTCCAGTATATTATGCTGGACCGGTCTCTATTGCAGCAAAACGATGGCTATTTTTCGTTGACTTGATAAACGATGGCTATTTTTGATTGACCAGTCCGAAAACTGGCTATACCGTGAAATTTTGGCCTTAATAAGTTAGAGCCCTGCTTCGAACAAAGTATATGAGTTGGGAGGAAGGTAACAACTTGTTTGGATGGTTGTTATTCATCGTTTTATAATGTATTGTATATATTGTGTTGTACTGTATTGTATTGTATTGTATTGTATCGTTTTATAAATACGTTTGGATAGATTGTATTGTTTGTTGTTGTTAAATACATTTTGTTTTTTGGTTTGACAATATCATACTGCACTGTAACTGATAAGTTTACTAAAAATACCCTCAATTGCTTTAATATTAAAGTTATCAAGAATTATGCATAAATATAATTTAAGAAAACCCCTTTCTACTAATTTATCACCAAATATGTTTTGTAAATAGATTGAGCAATGGCAGAAGTTCTGGAGAAAAAAAAAAGGGGACGGAGACAAAATAGGTTATTGGTGGGAGATTTGGAGTTAAAATAAAAAAAAAAATAAAGGGTAAAATATAATTATGGAGTAATAAGTTAGGGTATAATTGGAAAGAAAAATAGGAAATAATCCCACCATACCAAATCGGTTGTTTCAAAAAATAGGACTTTTCATTGTTCCGAAACAATAGATTTAACAATACAATACAACCCATTTTAATGAAACAATCAAAACAAATATTATTTTGAGATAACAATACAATACGATCCAACGGGTAACAACCATCCAAACAAGCTGTAAAAGGGCGGTCCATAATCCTTGGAGTTTTGAACTTGCGGGCCATTTGGAGTCGGCCAGAAGCCCACAGAAATTTCTCCATTATCAAAAATCAGAACTAGTTTAAAAATAAAAAAAATTGAAATAAGTTAATTTCTCATACACCATAAATTCATATCCCTTATAGAGTTGTTATTCTGCATCTCATGAAGGTCGTATTATGAGAAAACTCAATAGGTTAAAACATGAAAAGTTGTGTGCAGGACACTGCTGAACTCAGTTATGTGAAAATTGATTTACATAGTTGGACATATAGAAAAGTTCTCGATTAGAGATGGCTGATATATATAACTGAAGCATCTGGATGCTGAAATTTCTCGTTGTTGCATCTAAGCTGCGAAACTTCATCTTTTGCATTTGTATTTGGAAAATCTCCATCTTGAAATACAAGAATTATGTGGAAACAGTCTTAAAAACGCAACGAGCTGTGATTGAATCTCTGTATTTATTTGAAAATTTTTTTTTTTTTAAGAGCATAACGTTGTGTATTAAAAACAGTGGGCAAAATCTAGTAGTAGTAGTAGGACACGTACACATCCTTTACAAAAGAAATTTTTACCTATCTATACTATTTACTTATTTATTCTTACTAATCCAGTTTTAACTTGATCTAAAATTTGTTGTATAAACATCAACGTCACCATATTCCTTGATGGCCTGGGAAAGCAAAATCAAATCATTAATCATAATAGTTATTTGTGTGGATTGGGAGTTGTTGCAAATGATTGAGAATATCCTTTGAAATTTATATCTCAATTTTGAGAGAATTTGGTGAAGATTTGAGGTGGTTTTGATTGGAATTTTAGATTGAAACTCGAAAAAAATAAAATAAAATAAGCAAATTGTATATATTTTGTATGTCCGGTCTAGAAGAAACGACAAACAAAATATATACAACTAACATAATTGTATATAAATTATATGTAAATTGTAGTTTTTCACCAGATTTTATACAAAAAAAATTGATTTAAGTTGTAGATAAGTTGTAGATATATTGTAGATTTTGACCGAAACTTTATTATATATATTGTAAAAAAAATTAGTTACTTTCTGTAAATAGAAAAACTTAGACAAACCCGAGTAAATAAGTTTAAAATCTCGTTTGTATGTGTGTGTGCATATATATACACACTAGCGGAGGAAAAGCCCGTGCTGAGCACGGGCCCAATTAAAAGTATATATTTTAAGTAAAGTTTTTATGGGGAGAAATTTAAAAATAGCCAGATTTATAAGTGGTCATTTAAAAATAGCTACAGTTTCAAAAGTAATCGAAATTTAGCCACTTTCATGTAAAGATAAATTTGAACGAATACACTGTTCAAAGTTCGGAAAAATACTCCAGTATAATATACTGGAGTTCTAAGTATACTCGAACTCCAGTATAATATACTGGAGTTCAAGTATAATATACCAGTCTAGCATAATATAATGGAGATTGGAGCACCGATGCTCCAATCTTCAGTATATTATACTGAAACTTTTCGCGTGTTAGAGTTCCAGCATAATATGCTGGAAGTTCATAGCAAGTGCACCGATCTCCAGTATATTATGCTGGAACTTTTCGTGTTGCAGCAAAATAGTGACTATTTTTCAATGACTTTGCAAACGCTGGCTATTTTTGAATGACCACCCCGAAAACTGGTTAGCTCGTGCTATTTTTACGTTTTTATGTGGCACTTAATTTTGTATCACACATTGAATTTGTATCCAATTTTGAAATATAATTGATATCCAATTTTTGGGTAACTTCAAATACGTATAATTTTCTTTTCTTCTTCGGCGTTGCTTTTTTTTTTTTTGGCAGAATTACACAAAAATACAGTCCACCTACATACATTGCAGCAGAATAACCCAGTTACAACTTTGCAAATCTGTAGCCCATTAACAATAGGCCAACATTTGAAAAATAAGCATTTTTTTCTTTCCTTTTTTATTCTGCAGATCTTCAAGCACGAAAATTCGGTGATTTTTTATTCTTCTTCCCCAAGTTTGTATATATTCCTATTCCAGCTACAAAAAATTCAAATTCATATATAATGCAACTTGTTTCTTCTTTTTCAAGTTCCAAATAGCATAAATAAAAAATAAAAATTAAAAAAATTATTGCACGTTCATGATTTTGCAAATAAATCAACAAGAAAAGTCGATTTATACATAGATTGAACATATAAATTTTAATTTTAGATTTAACTACACATGTGCATTACATGTATAATGATGTATAACTTTGTATAAATTTGTATATACAATTTCTAATAATGTATATCAGAAAAAAAAGACAAAGAAGAAGAAAAGAAGAAAGTGTCAAACATCCATGGACGCCTACTATATACGTACAATGTATATACACACTTATACATTAAAAATATATCTAGTTTATACAACATTATACGCATATATACATACTTATACATATTTATACAATATTGTATAAGTTTGTATAAACAATACCTATACAAGTTTATACCAGAAAACACTTTTGTCCATCACCACATTACAGTTTTCGGTGGTTGCTGGTGTTGAATTTTTCCGGCGAGGTTTTGGCATTCAAATCTGGGCTTCACCAGTAGCAAAGGATGAAAAAAAATTAAGAGAAATAAGAAAATATGAGACGAGGTCGCCGGAGATGCTCTTTTAGGCCAGATCTGATAGCTTTTGGACTGATATGCCAAATTTTATTCTGGTTCCTTAACCTCTTTTTGTCAATTAACTCAAAAATCAAAATCTAATTGACATAGCATGCGAGGATTATCACGAGTGTGTACAAAAAAAATCTGTAATTTTAGGGAGAAGGAAGAGAGAGAGGGGAGTGAAGAGAGATTGAGTACGCTGGGAAAGAAGAAAGAAGAAAAGAAAAAAACCCTAGAAGTATGTTTTTAATAATGGGCTAAAGACTGAAAAGTTTCTTTCAAGATATATACAACCTGGGCCAAACCGGGTAAAGGCTTCAAACCTGGGCCATTTTTAGTTGGGTTGCTGTCCCAAGTGATTAAAAGCGTAATTCTTTCTTCTTTTTTTTTGTGCTTAGGATTTTTGCTTCTTTTTCTTAGTTGCAAAGTAAGTTTAATGAATTTATTGGTATTTTGACAATATGATAATTGGTTATATTTATGATATTTGAAAGTTATATTTCAAATTTGAGTTTATTTGGAGTAAATTTGGGTGTTGAATCGTATATTGAATTATTGATATTCGAAAAACAACTTTATATTTCAGAACTTAAGATTCGAAATCTAAAGTTGCATTGAAAAGATTGAACTACATAAGATTCGAATTTGTGAAGTTGCATTTGAAAGATAGAAGAGCTTGGATTTGATTTCTGAAGTTGCGTCGAAGAGATAGAACTAATTCAGATCAGAGCGGGTAACTTTGCAAAATTTAATGCAATACGGCTATAACTTCAATGGTGGCCCCGTATGAGTTTATAGGAAAATGCCCCCTATTTTAGTCAAAATTTATTTTTTATTTTGTCCAAAAATTGATACTTA